ACTACTACTACTTCTGGTCCCAAGCATTTTGGATAAGGGAGACTCAAACCTGTATTTTTAAATGTTTCTTAATTTTGCACACTAAAGTACAGGATGAATACACACAGATATACACACAGGCAATTTTGAAGAGCCCTCTGATGTACAAAGGGAGTCGTGTGTCCATCCACCATTTCCCTGGCTGGTTTGCACATCTGTAATGTTTGTTGCAAAATTGGGTCCACAATCTTGCAATTGCTCTTAACATATGCTACAATTGTCTAGATCTCCAGATGTTGATGGACTACAACTCCCATCAACTCTTGCCAACACAGCCCATCGTGAGGGATGAAGCAAGCTGCCATTCAGCAAAGTCTGGTGACCTATAAGGTGCCTACCTAGGTTCACGATGAATGGAAACTCCAGCAAAATAGGTGCGTTTTTGCTCCTTCCCTTCTGCCTTCTTACTGACCAGACCCATTGCCTTATCTGGAAAAAAATTACAATCCACAAAGCCAACATGGACCAGTCCTCCATATGATAAATTTAACTCTCAGCAACACCCAGAAAGACTGCAACTGGATTTGTTTTATTTGCATGACAAGTGAAAATTAAATGCAAGCATCTCCTAAGGTACCGTCATGCTTCCACCCAGAAGAAACTAGTTTTTTAAAGAATTAATTCAAAAGGGGCAAGTCCCACTCTCTCAACCTCGATGGCAAACCTCGGAACAAATCTTGCCAAGAAAAACCCATGATAGGTTCGCCTTCTTGCTGGTCATTGACGGAATAAACATATATATGTATATGTATGTATAGGTTCGCCTTAGGGCCACCCTAAGTCGGAAATGACTTGAAGGCATGCAACAACAACAGGACAATACCTCTATGTTGAACCCAAATTGCTAGTCCAGAAGAGCTTAGGGAAATGGCCATGCTGGACTGGGATGCTTGGGAACTCCAGACCAAAAAAGTAGTGTTTCAAAGCTTTGCATTTGTGAATTGACTATCACATGTGTCAATGAAGGACTGGTCTCTGCTGGGCTCCAATGGTAAACTGAGATCGATTTAGATCAGCAATGGGTAACTGCATGGGGGGGGG